TTATCACTAATTAGTTTTGGTGCTGGCAGTCCCAGCAGGGGCTTAAAGGAGTGGAGGGCTGAGGAGACTCACTTGGGTTAAGACCGAGTGAGGAGCAAATACATGGAAACTGAAACAGCAGGGCCTCCCAGGACATGGTTAGGCTTTCCGGAGAAGGCTTGCTTGCGTGCTGCCAGGTGCTGCTTGGGGGATTTTCAGGCCCACAGGGGAAATATCTAGAACCCTTTTGGATCACTATATTCATTTAAAAGAGACCCAGAGAAATTGAGCAAAATGCCCAGGCTGGTAAGAGCAATTCCAAATGCTGTCTAGGGCCTTATAGTCTTTGTGCTGTCCACAAGATGCTGCTGCAAGAGAATGGGTAAAAGAGCCAGTAGAGTAATGGGCACAAAAATACCAAACCGTTTCTCCTTCATTGCAACGTAGCAGGAGGAGTTGCTTAACAGGCTTCCTGAGCAAATCTCAAGGGGTTGAAGTCAGGGGCCCATGTTCAGATTATACATCAGCCTCCTTGCCCACAGAATGCAAAAGCCCTCTGGCTTGTTCAGGTAGTAGAGGCAGCACATAGCAACAATAACCTCAGCTCTGATACAGCATTTTTCTCAGTGTGGTTTGAACAGATTTCTTTTGTATGATTTCCAGACTGTTCTGACTTTTGATGAACTGGAAATACCCCAGATACCATCCTCAAGGTGGAAAACTCAGGTATTTCTGCTCTGGTTCCAGGTGACAAAAAATATACCAAGTATTTTCAAAAGAAGATAATATTTGGGGGTGGAGGGGTTAACTGCAGGAAGGGTTCAGTCTCTGTCTGAGTTTGAATGAAGGTTTAGGTCAATGTAGTTTTTTTTTACCCCAGCAGGTTTTTTTTCTTAAAGGTTATTTAACAACATGGGTTTTCCCAGATTATTCCTATAGACACAAGGGAACCAATTTCATCCTGGGCTGTCAGCTATTAATGTGTGTTTTTGAGGATGGAAATTTGGAACAGATGCAGCAAAACAGGCTTATAAGAAGCCAGGATCTGGCCAGGTATATACAAAGAAACTAGAACTAATGGAGGTTAAGAAGGGATGAATATAGCTTATGATCTTGCTCCTCCTTGCATCAAAGCTGTGCGCTTCTTTGTAGTTTGGGGATGTTTCCCAGTTTTGGACTATATTCAGGGAAAACCACCATAGGAAATCATCAGAACTGTGAAATGAATTGCATAGCCTGTCTCTGGAAGATGGCTCTTTATGTTCAGTGACCACAGCAAAGATGCTTAAGGAAGTTTTGAGTATGTGTGTAAAGGAATGGGTGTACATGGATGTGTATGTTCATGTATAAGATCAAAAATAGATCATCGTTGAAGTAACAAGAGAGTTGTACCAGCTGTTTTTTTCATATTTGAGGCAGTTGCTCTGTAGTCTGTTTATACCGCAAAATTCAGAAGTCAGCTGTGAAACTCAGAGCATTTTATGCAGGGGACGCTTGCCTTGCTCCAGAACAGAGATGTCAAGGATTTGTTCTTAGCTCCTGGCAGTACCACCTTTTAACAGACAGAGGGCACCCCAGCCACTCTGATGAGGGTCTCTCCCAAGCCCAGCTCCAGTTTCTGCCAGTGTAAATCCAACTTCTACCAAATGAAGAGTCCAACCAGGTCTGCCCGTTTTCCACGACCTACTATGAAATGGTTCATTGCAGCCAAAAAATCAGATTTAGTCTGTGAAAAATCTGAAAGGTGAATAGGAAAAAGTGGCTCTGTGGCACTGGGGTTGGGGCTTGACGTGGCCCCAGTGCAGGGTCAAGTTTGGGATCAGGTTGCTGCTGCTTTCCCTTTGACTGTGAGCCTGAGAACTGACTCCACACCTGCAAACTTTCTCGTGACATGGAGGGATAGCTGTGTTACTCTGGACAGAGGCATGTGTCTCTCCTCACTAAGAGATGCAGAAGGAGGGGAGAAGATCTCATTGTGGTTACCACTTCTGCCCTGCTTTGGTGTCCACTACTGTGTGACTCTTGACGGGTTTTGACCCAAACTCCACAGGGGCCAGGTTTCTCAGGTCACACAGCCCTGATATCCAGTGTCCAAGCACCTGAAGCCCATACTGAGATTTCACTGGTGACAGAGCCAACCGCTCTCTCCTGCCTCATATCTCTTCAGCTCAAGACATCTGCATATGAGTCGTAAAGGCCAATGGTGGTCTCCTGATGCTCTCTCTCAGATTAATGGAAGCCCTGAATGAAGAGACCTGGATTTCTGCATTATGTGTTTAAGAAAAAAACAAACCTAGCTGCTTATTAAGTGCATCCAGCCTGGCTCTTGGGAGCATGCTACTTCTGTGTAGTCTGGCTCCGAGTTTTCTGTAGGACTTGGGTCACCCTTTTTGGCACTGTCTCTTTTTTGGTATTTCCAGGGGTTCATCAGGAACAAAGAATAAGTCCTTCCCCAGACTTGGCTCCTGCTGCTGATGTAGCCTACTGTCTGGTGGGCACTATGCACCCCCTTCTACCAGCTGATCCCCAGAGGGTTTGACTGGATCACAGCAACTAGCTGCAGTCCCTTATTGTAGTGATAGATACTCATGTTATTGGTGCCAGAGGTAGAGTACCTAAACTTTGTGATGGCAGCAATTTGTTCTGTGCCCAAGCCCCAGGAAGCCCCCCGTCTGAGGAGGAAAGAGGTTTTCCAGCAGGAGTAGCCTGATGCTCCTCAAAACATTGCCTGGTGTCCCAAGGGGAGGTATTGAAGCTGATCCTCCCGGTGACGAACGCAGAGAGGGGAATAAGGTAGCATCTGACTCCTGGGAAGATGCCTGCTTAGCAAAGTCCATTCCTCTGAAACTGCTGGGGTGGCCAAAGGCAAGTTAACCTGGGCTCCGACCCAGATAGCACACTCTGAGGAACCCAAATTCTGAAAGTCTCTGTTCCTCAATCAGGTTTATGAAGGTGTTATGACTAACCAGTCCTTGGCACAACACATTCATAAACCTAATTGAAGACATGTGTATGCAGGTCCATGCATACAAGCCCATGCATGCACGTACGTATCTGTGCATGGGTAGGAGTGCATGCACAGGGGACTGGCCTCCAACTAGCAGTGGTGGGGAAGAGCAGGTGTTATTCTGCCTGACAGGGTGCCCCCATTGTACCATTTTGCAGACAACACTGCCTTGCTATCAGGGTACATTATCCAGTGTATTTGGTTGATTAGGGAACAGAATGCAGCAGCAAAACACATTGGGGCTATTTTCAGCGCAGAGGTTTCTTCCCATTCCCAAGTGAGAGCAGTGGAGTGATTGCAGCAGTGGGTGTCACCTCCAGATTGTTTCAGCAGATCCAGAAGCAGAGAGATTTAAGTTTCTTTAACCCTTCTGCTTGGGCTGGGCCTTGGTGTAGCTGTCCACCAAGTGGAACGTGAGGCAGAGAAATGAGGGAATGAAAGAGAAATGCAGGTAGAAGAACAAGACAACTGCCCAGGAGCAGGTTGTGGCTCCTGGCCTCATGGGTCCACCTGCAGCCTTTTGCTGGGCACATTTGCTGCCACAGACAAAGTGGTGCAGAGCAGGACTCAGGGCAAGAGTCAGGACTAGGTCTTAGGCAGCTGTCAGGCAGGTCAGACAAGGTGACTAGAATGGAGTGTGTTGACTTCCCGCCCCAGGGGCCAGGGCTGCATACACACTATCCTGAGCTCTATACTGCCCCTCCTCTCCCGGCCAGCTGGGCCCCTCTCCCTACTGCCAAGGGTTAGCAACCCAGTCCCAATCCTGCACCCCATGGCACTGCAGTGCCTTTCCTGTGGGACTGCTGCTATGTATCCATGCATGGGAGTGGAAGGGGGTGCTACTATGGGGAGAGAGCCCTGTCGTGCATCCCAGGGAACAGAGAGCACAGGAAGTCCTGAGAGATAGGATCAGCTCCCAGCCTGCTATACTGGAGAGTTTCTAGAGACTGAGACCCCCTTCCCAGTTGATGTTTTTCTGAGTTCACTCATAGGTTTTGCTTTTTTCCTAAAACAGTGATTCTCAGCCAGGGTGCCATGGCACCCTGGGGTGCCTTGATATCCTTTCAGGGGCGCTGTAGGATGCCAGACAACGTTAGTACTGTTACATGTGCAACCATGATTCATGAGATAAACCCAGAGATTTCAAATAGGCATTCATAGCATTAAAACCATTCTGCCCTGTTGTGGTCTTTCTGAGTTCTTCGCAACAGAAACATCACTGTTATTTTTGTGTAGTGAAAAAATGCATGAAAACTAGGAGCTGGCATTGTCTGAGGGCTGCCTTGCATCTAACAGGGGTGAGAACCACTGGTCTGAAGTAAATCAGGGTGAAATATCACTGTCCTGGATCCAGCCCCCAGAGCTTAAACTGCAAGCAGCTTCAGGGGCTGGGACTGGAGGCCTGGGCTCAGCCTTGGAGGGAGATAGGAGATACGTACAGCCTTCAGTCCTGACCTGGGCTTGCCTGTGGAATGTGGGTGCGTGCAGGTCAGGGCTGGGGCTTGTCTAGTCCTGTTCAAGCTTGGAGTGACACTGAACAAACGCCCCGTAAAGGTCCTGCTTGTTTCACCAGGAGCCACTGTCATGTTCATAAGACATGGTAGGTATCATCTTCTGTTTCCCTCCCAAGGCCATTCTCATATGGGGTGCAGCCAAAAATCCCAATCTATGGCCCCTCGTCAAGGAGCACGGGTCTCTGCACTCACCAGAGAGGTTGCTTCACAGGGTTCGGTTGCGCTGGAAATCCAGGAATCCTGGCCCCAGGATGGATGGACCCACCACAAGGGGATGATGTCAATGTACTGATTTTATCCTTCGTACAAGTGGTGACCTGTTTGAAAAACAAAACAGCCCAGAACCGCTCTTTCAGCGGATTTTCCAGTGTGCTGGCCCTTTAAGGAGGTTGTAACAGGACACCTGAAGTCCTAAAGAAGTGTAGCTGAGGTTTCTATGTCTCTAAACTGGCTGGTGTTTTCTTTTTTCTTTTCCCTCCTCCCCCTTTCCCTTCCTCCAGTCCCAGTTTAATTTGCTGAACAGCAGCATGGATCAGAGCATCGGGAGCCGAGCAGCCTCCACCAGCCCTTACAACTCTGAGCACACCTCCAATGTCCCAACGCATTCTCCCTACTCGCAGCCCAGCTCCACCTTCGACGCCATGTCCCCAGCTCCCGTCATCCCCTCCAACACTGACTACCCTGGTCCCCACCACTTTGAGGTGACTTTCCAGCAATCCAGCACGGCCAAGTCAGCCACTTGGACAGTAAGTTGCATGTATTCTTGCCTTCTGTAGAGAGATGCATGTAAGCCATTGGCAAATGTGTGCAAGGAACCTGCAGGAAACCCTTGAATGTCTTGAGATTGCTTTGCAGAGGAGTTTACAACGCCTGTTTCTGTGCTGCAGCCGGTGCCCTGATGTGGGCAGTCACATTCTGCTGACCCCAGGAGCACAGTACACTTGAGGTCTGCAGAGGCAATGAATGTAATTCCATCCAGATGAACCAAAATTGGGAAAATCTGGGTATTTTTCAGGGGTGGTTTTTTACCAGATGCAGCAATGACAGGTTATTTTCATAGATATGATTTCTTGTAATGCGTTATTATTAAATGGGTGATTCTTTCTTTAGGAGCCCTGACAATAAATTAACTTCTGTCAGAAACATTTTACCCAGCAACATAACACTGCAAGAAGGAACGCAGCCCCCCAAGAGCTGATAGACACCACATATCTATGAGCCCTTCTT